TCATTATTCAACTTTAGTACGATAAATACGAACATTTATTTGAGATAAATAATATTTTAGTTTACTACTATTAAAACTCGCGCGTAACACATAAAAGGAAATTTTTTTTTACCGCATTAAACACAAATGGATAATAGAATTTAATTTAAATAGTTATCATAATATTTTCTAGAGCCACTACTCTACCATCTACATATAATGTATTAAATTTCAATAAAAAAGAAAATATTAATCGCATTAAAAATACTTCGTTGGAAACCGGACCTTAACATGCTCTCGGCTCGAAATCGTAAGCAGTGAAGGCAGCTACAGAGCTCCGGAGCATTTCGCAGCCCACCACTGGGCAGGACGCATATTTATTATACTACTATGGTAATACGTCATTCATACACGTCTTAGTGGAAAAGGACGCGCCCGTTATATGTTACGTAATTAGAAAGGGATTTCCCCGGTTAATAGGTTAATGTTCATATATAATATTAAAACAACAATTGTAAAATATTCATTTAATCTCAAGAACAACCTCAGAATAAAGCAACATATAACTATATATCCTTGGTTAAAAACATTATTTCTTAAATCTATACCAACATGTTCTAAAGTTTGATTGTACTTTATTGTGATTGCAAAGACTATATTTTAATACGAAATTATCAACGTTTAAAAACAAACAGATAATCTTTTCTGACGAATGCAATATTGTACGATTTATTAATTATAATACCATATTTCACCTAATAAAAGGTGAAATGGTAATTTATATAATTAATGGTGATAAAAAATCACCATTAATGTTAGATTTAAATAAATTATTATAAAAATTCAAAATCAATAATCTAATACTATTACATAAGCCTTTATTAATACTAAGATATCAGATAAGCACAACACGATTTCAATTAATTTCAATTCATCATAAGATGAAAGAGATTGAGGTGAAAGAGTTAATATAGTGAATAGTTAAATTTTTAATTATTAAAATCCTTTAGTAATAAAATACCTTTAAATTTTCATTTATTATCACAGTTTTTTGTATCTATCAATAATTTTCGTGTAAATGTTCGCAGTTGTTTCATCTAGTAAATATTATTAATAACTTTTTCATTTATTTCATTTACATTAATATTTTTGTTCAATCAATTTCAATAATGTTTCTTGCATTTATAAAATAGAATAATCGATTGACTTTCTATATTATTTCCTCTATAATATATTTCCAAATAAATATCATTCACATCTTCCACGTTATTAATTACTACAATACAATTTTTAGGAAAATGTTCAGAATTCAAATGATCGCGGAAATCATTCAATATTCGATCCATCACCAACATTTAACAAAAATTAAAAAATTTAATTTCTTGAGATAAAGCACGCATGTTAACGAAATTTTAATATCAGGCTATTGAGAGCAATAATTTATCGAAATCAACAGTTTCACTGTGCATATGTACTATTTACTTTTAGAAGTAACTGTGTAGTATCGCCTACTAAAACAATTCCCACCAAATAATTTATCGCTATTCATTATATTACGCAACGTTCTATCTATTGTTTCAATATATCTTGGAACCATAAGTGCTTCATAATCACACATTAAAATATCGGCTTCTTTTAAATAAGCAGCTTTTATGATTCTAATTTTACATTTGACAATTAATCCGAGAACGAATGGTACAGGTAATATAAATATTTTATACATTGTTTTACTTTGAGGTAGTTAATCCTGTGATACTATAGTACACACGTTTTTATTTATTTCCTTTTAAAAGATACCAAAGAGTTTCGCATAGAAAAATGTTTAATTACTAGATCGACCAAGACTATCTATAAAAAAAATAGTTACTATAACTAAGTTTCATTTTCATGTAAAACAACATTTAAATCTTCATCAGCTGTTTCCTTTTGGTTTTTATTTAATTATTGATGTCCTTCACGACCAATAGTTAAATAGAAATTTGAAATTCCATTATAAGGTAAAATTTCGTTTTGCTGCTTGCAATAAATCTTGATATTGTGTAAAATAGTTTAGATTTTTATCTTCAATTTGAATTAAAAATTCCATATCCATGAGAGCTTTAAAATAATATTTTCATTTTTATTATTTGACTTATAAAATCTTCAGACATTGCATCTTTAAAGTCTCCTCAAAGTTTATTTAGATTAACAAGATTGCAATGAATTAAAATTCATTTCAATAATCATCGTAATTGCTTAGGCATCGTAAGAACTATAGTTTCTCTCATTACATTTGTCCATTCTTGCTCACTATTAATAAAACCATAAGCTAATCAATTTAATTATAGCTCCTTTCATTCGAAATTGTAAAATTCTTAAATGAAATAACTAATTTAAATTGACTCTGATTACTGGGCATATGCACCCAACGCATTTGATACTGGTATTTTCTGTTAATCTACTTATTTACTTTATTCCCTTTGACTTCAATTTTTTGCAATATGTAATTTTTTAAAATAAGAATTTCATCATAGTAATAATATTGATGTACATACATTTAGATCTATATATTCAGATCAAAATAATCCATCAATAATAATATTAATTAATACATGCAAATCTATAGTATTATCTATTTCTGTTTGGTATAAATATTAATAGGATCTGTACAAATTGTTATATTTTGAAAAGGTAAGCGAATAATAAACATAACATTTATCTTGCAATGGTCGAGACAATATAGTGTCTAGACAAGATATTGGTTTTAGGTAACGTGTGATTCAAAATTTTCGAAGTATAATATATAAATGTGCCATATCCATAACATATACACCCGGATGAGCGAAGATTGAGGAGTGAGTGATGCAAATGTTCTACTCCTTCCCAATGAGATATCAAGGTTGCAATCTTTTCTATTCGATTCTACGAGAAACGTTATGGGAGGTGAAAAATTGTCAAAATTGCAAATTTCCCACTACTTCTATTTGTTATAAAAAATTTTATTGCAAAAAACAAGTTTTCTCGCCACATCTTGAAAAATATTAATTTTTTGGAAAAAAAGTTTATACAAAAGTTGTATATTTTTTAATTCCAAACAACTTATGTCTCTTATAATTTTTTCGATCAACCATTATTTTTTGAAATAATCGAGAAAATATGTTAGCACGCTTGGTATACCTATATGGTATGCATATATATAGCTATAGAATATACTTGAATGTTATCGCATTTATCTATTATCTCGGAAAATAATAGGTTTTTGATCAGGATTATGGGGGAAAAATATGGGTAAAACATATTTTTTCAAATATAGGAGAAGATACTAATGTTTTTTTATTGACAACTAAGATTTTTTATTGACAAACAATGTCTACGTACTCTGTATTTTGTACTGACTGTGATATATAATAGTTTTTATTCATTTGTCCATATATAACTTGGAATAGAAAATTGATTTTTCCGAAACGTGGGGAATTTTCAAATAAATTTGTTCACTGAAATTACTATAGCCTCTTACTTTTTAAACTTATTAATTAGTTGTACAGAATTAAATTTACTTTGACAGGATAAAGTAATTAAAAAAAGATAATGCAGTATTCCATGCTTTTTAAACACAATAACGTACATATAAGCGTGAACTGAACCGAAAAATTATTCTTTCGAACAATTGACATGGAATATCTTGATATAACATTCTAACATATATCGTGGAGATTTTGAAAATGTTGACAGCAATTAATTTTTCCCAACTTGTGCGTATATTTACATCGCATTATTAATTCTATTATGTAAGCATAGTTACGATCGAACTACTAGCATAACTATATATAGTGTATACATTTTGTTGATCTCAAGGACGAGACTTTAATATAATTATTTGAAAGTAAACTTGAGAAGTTTCTACGTTAACATGCTGTACTTGAGATGATGGTTACAAAAAGTTTCAATACATTTCCAATTCCCATGCTCTAGAATATCTTATATTGGAATACATATCATCTAACCAAGCACAGAAAGCAACTGCGGAACAAATAATACTCGCCGAATACTATATACCTGCGTCTTTAAGAACGGAACGTGCTTAATTTTTACCATATATATGATATAATACTAGAAACAGTTTTCTTTTTACCTGCTATCGAAATGTATAGAATCTCTGACTACATCCTGCTTTCTTTTACTTAACAAAAAAACAGGACATTGACAATGTTTTACATAATTTCCAGTTTGACATTGCTGAAAGAGATGTGATCATTTTTATAACCAAAACTAGCTGTCATTTAACAATCTCCTCATTAAACTTTTCCAAATATTCTTTTAAAGATCTCAAATAAGAATTAAATCATGTATCGGATATTATAATACTATTGTAAAAAATCACCTATCTGTATCCATATGGAAATTCAAAATTCTAGAATTTGAAACGTTATAATCTTTGTAAGTCAATGTTTTTTGCTTTGAGTATTACGACCGGCCCGGCGTTGCGAACTATATACATATGTATATACGTAACTTGTAGTTACTGTACGATCTTAAATATAGAAATCCGCCTCAGGAATCATAGCTAGGATACACATCTATTAGGATGTTGATCCTCAACGAACATTTATATTCATAAGAACGCTTAGACGGAAAAGCATAAAAATGGAGGGATTTAAAATATACGTATTCTATTAAAAGTACAATATTTTGTACAAAAGTTCATGTACCTCCAAGAATTTTTACATTTTATCTATTTGATTTAGGTTTACTTGATGTAGTTAATATGTCTATTTTGGAACGTCCTGGCTATAGTATAATCACGTATTTTGAAAGAAAACGGCGATCTTTTGTGGTTTGTTCGTACGCCGTTGTTATTCGCCAAATCTCATCACTATTCGCCAGCATTCAGCGTTGGCTGTGACGGCTCCAGAAGGTTTATTATGATGCCGGACATGCGCTGCGCAAAAATCTTATACTGCAACTGCGCATTGCGCAGTTGCTACTGCGCAGCACCACAATATAGCCCCCGGTCCCCTCATCCTTCCGCGCGCTTAGTTGTATGCGTGCGCATGACTATATTTGTGCAAATGTATATGCGTAAGCTGTAAGCCAAAGAAGCACATTTTCTTGGTAAGTCGGTAAGCTTCGCATTCTCAATCACCGCTTATCTATATAATCAGGTAAAATTTGGTTTTCTTTTATTTGTTTTATCAACATAGATCGTTTTCATAGAATGTATTATGTTAGTTATCATCAATTTGTATATAATAATGTATATATGTTAACTTTTTTTAGGAAAACAAGCAGTCATGGGCGTGGAAGTCGAGGTTCTATCTCCCGGAGACGGTAATTATTTTACATATGTTAATAGAACTTTACTGTGCTTTTTTGTGATAAAGTATCAAACTTGGAGTGTTTGTACTACATTTTCAATTCATCAGTTATAAATTTATTTTTATTGTACTTTTTTCATACGCATGTTCTAGTCTTGAAAAGGACGCCTTCCTTTTACATTTTACGTAGCACTTGACATCACGGAGCCTCGCTGAACTTTGCATACTCACTAGTCACTTTACTTTTCTCGTTTTCTTACGTCTACAGCTAGAATAGTTTTAATCTTCTTGAACTTTGTACATTTATAGTAAAGTATGTAATATGTATGTGTTTTAGATTCTCAAATTTTCTATTTACAATTCGTTCCAAAATATTTGATTTTCTTAATATGAAAAGCGAATTATCAAGTAAATCGTTAATCAATATACTTAAGAGCATGACTATACAGCAAATTACCACTTCAAGAAAAACCATTATACTCTAATAATTTGCGGTTTACCTCAGATATCAAAGTTGTCTCGGATTTATTTATTTGATAACCAAAGCGGGATGACCTTTATAACTGTTAAAAATTTGAATATTGAACAAGCATTACGAAATTTACGTATTTTTGAGCGAGTTTTATAAGCTATAATTTTATAACGTTTGATATTTATTCATTACCAAATTCTGATCAATTACTAAAGTTATTCAGACTGAATGATTATTGAAGGGATAAAAGGAAATTACAACATTCAATAAAGACTTGAAATTTATCAAGTGTAATGGTTTTTAGGAATTTATAGGTTATGTTGTGCATTAGCATCCTCCTACTAAACTATGTAGCATCAATTCATGTACTTTTATAATTTGAATTAAAAATTATAAATATACTAATTGAAAAAGTATCCATTATCTCTATGGTTCACTTTATCATCTATAAATATTAAAATATTCAAGTGAGCTTGATACAATATTTTGAACTGTGTTCCCTAAACTTATTTGTAAATATACCGTTGATATTTTAGAATATATTTTATTTTTAATTGGTTTGTATATTATTTTATCTGTGATATGTATTTTAAACAATTGCTTACTAAATGGTCAATCAATAAATATTATGTTTAATTTGGTTTTACAGGACAAACATACCCTAAAACTGGACAAATTGTTGTTGTTCATTACACAGGTAACATATTCTATGGCATTGTACAGTATGTTGAAAATAAATTTTTTCCATTTTAATAAAATTCTATGTATTGTTATTTAGGTACTCTTTCCAATGGGAAAAAATTTGATTCAAGCAGAGACCGTGGAGTGCCATTCAAATTTAAGATTGGAAAAGGAGAAGTGATCAAAGGATGGGACCAGGGAGTTGCACAAATGTGCGTTGGAGAGCGAGCTAGGCTAACTTGTTCACCAGAAGTTGCATATGGTGCAAGAGGACATCCTGGCATATATCCTTTAATACTAAATTTACATTATTTTTAACATCTCATTATTTTAAAAACAGTACTGCATACAATACATTTAAACAAAATATCTTAATTACTTTTCATAAATTCTACTAGAATTTTATAAGATAACATTAGTATGATTTTTATGTTGATATTTCTCCTTAACAACAATACACTATTCCACCAAATGCAACTTTGATCTTTGACGTTGAACTCCTAAAGGTGGAATAAAGCAACAGTTATTATGCACGGAACCAACCAAACTAATTTTATCTTAGCACCTGACATTTAACAACGCTTAGAATTTCATTGAGTGCTTTTACAACAAGCAGTCTTAAGACAGATGGCATATTATACAACTTATAGTTCATTCAGTTGCTTCTTACACCAAAAAAGATTAGAAAAAAATATGAAGTCAAGCTGTTGCAATAAGACATTAATTTTTTTTCGATGAAAGTGTCTAGAAATATTTGTACAGTCAGGCGTCTCATGGAAAATAGATTTTATAAAAGTAGAATATTGGAGTCTTCTCTATACATAAGTGATTGAATCAGAATGTACTAAAAGCATTTGGGAATTTTCAATATTTGTGTTCATTCCACTCACTTAGTATTTGAAAACTTAATACTATCATTACCTTAACGTTTTGTATGGATTTTACATATGCTATAAAATATTTGCATTATTCATATAATCTTCAATATTCATGTGACCAAATCAATAAATACTTTCTTCTGTGAAAAAGGTGTGCTCCATTTCATTAAAAATCATTTTTAAAATATACATCTTTATTATTCAATTTACAAACTTTATATTTTCTTTCATTGCAAACAAAAATATTTTAGAAAATACTGATAGATGTACTGCTGAACATTCAGTAAACAAGTGCGTTTAATTTACATACTAAACATCAAACAATTACAATTGTACATTGATACATATAATATGTATATATGTATATTATACATATATTTACAATTCAATTTTTAATAATAGGAATTCGATATGAATTCATAGATCTTTGTATCTGTCGTGAAAATTATATTGACTTTAATTGATAAAAAATAATAATTGAATGGTTTCACTCAATAATATTTAACAATTTTAAAACAAATTTTTAATGAACTAATGTGTAGAATCGTTCTTGTTCTTTCAATGGTGCTACATATTGTTGACAAAGCAATTATAACTTGAGAACATATAGAAATGATTTTTTTAATTAAATAGTAATTGCTTAAAACTTTATACTACTTATTTGTGAAATCGCGAAAATTTACCTACTTGAAACCTTTAACAACCTGATTTTAAAATTTTTTTATTTAAGCAGAATATCTTATTAAAACACACATTACCACAGCAAAGTATAGCAGTATATAATTTAATTAATTCATTTGAAATATGGTACATGTTAGTTATATATTCTGCTTGGTTGGAATATAAGAAATATATTTTACAATAACTAAACTTAGCATTATCTATAGTACATAATTTTATAAATTGCTGTACTAGCAATTTTTAACTTATTTATCTGGTTTTTTGGATTAAATATTGTAAACATTGATTTAGTAAACAAACAGCTCTGGGAAATGTATTTCATAAGCTGGAGTTTGACTTGGTTTAGTATCAGATGGTGTACCTCCAGGTATTGACTGGCTTCTCGGCTCAATCATCAAAGTATTGAATATTTCAGATAATTTGGTTTGTAATACATCATGCTGCAATCAACATAATAATAAAAAATATATGGAAACGGCAATAAAACAATATTATGAAATTACATACTTTTGGCTGTGTTTTTTTAACCAACTCTTGGAATGGAGCATTTCTAAATAGTTGCGAAAATTGTGCTCGTTTTTCTTCTTCTATTACTTGCAAATTATTAGTTTCAGTCAAAATTCTCTTCATGCTATCAAATGTCAATTCTTCTCCAGGTAACTTCTATATATAATAAGTAAAATATTAAAATTTCAGAATTTCATTGGTTTAGATGATAAAAACATTTACCCTTTGCACTCCAGGAGATGAGCCTGCACTGTCCAATTCATTGGTTCCACCATTAATATCACCCAATGAACTTCGACCAGCACTGTCAACCCAAGAATGTCTAACAAATATAAAGAATAATAGATCAACATTATAATAATATATCATTAGAAATATAATATAATGAACAACATTCAAACGTATATTATACCTATGTTGCAAGGAACTACTACTGTAACCAGATCCTTGTTGTAGTTTTCCAGTTTCCAAACCAACACCTTTGAGGCATTCAGTAACAATGGTTTGGTCAACTAAAAGAGAAGCTTGTATTCTTGAAGGTAGATGTGTCCCGTATTGCGAGCGTAAATTAGGTAATAAATGTGGAGCATCTTTACATCTAGCTTCAACAATCTAAGAAAAAAAGTTATCTTAATATTTTGAAAATTTTGAAACATTTCATCAAGAATGGATTACATACTTTATTTACATAATCAATGAGCGTAGATATGTTACAAACGTATGCAATGAGAACTAGTAAACTTATGACCATCGCATGTAAATTATATTTAATAAATATGTTAATTTGAGCACTTGTTAAAGCAAGATCTTGAAGGCTCATAACCAATCGCAATAGCTCCAATACTGTTTCTTCAGATGCTAGTTCAACAGTAAGTAAGGCTAATGTTGTATAAATAGATTCAACATTTTCAACTCTATTGCTAGTTAACTCAAGGGATTCATACAGAGCCATATAAATTTCAGGTCCATGTTTCTTAATAAATATAACATCTGGTCTAGATGCCTTTTCAATTGCAAGATCCAATTCAATGATATGAACCCTAAGTATCAAAATAATTAACAAATGCTACATAAGAACTAAAAGTAAAATTATTGATATGCTTACGTTGGTTTAGCTAATTTGGTAATATTTTTATGCCTATCTATTAGTGTATGAAAAATTTTTTGTACCAAAAGTCTCATTTCAGCATCTGTTGCCAAAGACATTCTCAAAAGTGGTTGAAGAAAACTTGGTGGGAATGTTGTGTTTAAATGAATGGTTTGGTACTTGGTTCCAACCTACAGAATAAATTATTTGTTTGTTATTTTTTTGCTCATATAATAATTATCAAGACAACTTTCCATGTTTTATATACCTTCAATAATGACTTTAATAATATACTTTGCAGTAGTACATCTCCTTTTCCAGCAGAAGTAATTGAATCTGGTTCTCCATATGGCACTTTACTCATAATAAACTTCATAATTTCGATTTTCTGGTAATCAGGAAGATGATTTGCAAATTCTCCAAGTGCATTTATAAGTGCCTCTTGATAAAGTTGTTCATCATTGGTTGACGATTGATTTCTAGATACACTGACTCGCAAATGAGTTAATAATGAACTAATAATTTCCAAAACAGATGGACCTACAAGAATTGTGATAAATGTATTTTGAAATATATTTGTACACATAAATATGGAATTCAAGCATTTAACTTACCAACGCTTTCACCAGCTGCAATAGAAATAATTTTTGACAATGTATCTGCTATGCTTGTACGAATTTTTGGAGATGATTGAGAATGTTCATCCAAATGTGTCATCAAAGCTTCAACAACAGTGTATGAATACTGTGACTGTTGAAAATAAAAACGATAAACCATTTGCAAGTGTTTTACATTATTTAGATATAAATTATAATTACCTGAATAGAAAACATTATTATTCTAAATGTATGAATAGCAAAATAATTTGGAACCCACAATTGATGATTATCTAAATGTTTCAAAACTGGCTTAATAACACAACGAATGTGGCCAAATGATGCTCGACCCACTAACTCCCTCATACAAGTTTCTGCAAATTTTGGTGGATCTGATCTTTCTTCAGTAGGACTTTCTAGAGTATTATTGTCTTTATTAGAATACCTGTCAGAGAATTGAATTCATATTTAAAAATATAACAAGCAAATAATATAGCTGTCAAAATTTTTTTACTGTAACCAACCTAGCATTTTGCATATTGTAGAGCAAAGAAGGTACAATTTTATCCATGTGAACTATATTCCAAATATTTTCCACTAAATCATCGGAGATGGTTTTTCTTACAACACCCTAATGTTTTATTTTTATTTCGTTGATTGTATTATTAAATTTTTGTTGATCATGTAGATAATTTTTTATATATATTATCATGAATATGCTTTAGAGTACAAGCATATAGAACTTTAAAATGAAATTACCTGCAATCCCTGAATTCCTGCAAGCCGAATCTGTTTTCGTACTGAGGAATCATCATGGTTGGAGTGGCACATTGAAGAATATTTTGATACAAAGAAATCGTAACGTGTGTGATAAGACGGCGTGTCCTCCTCGATGTTGGCAAATCTAACAAACTAGAAGACATCAGCATTTTGTTGAGCTGAATTAGTGTATGTATGACAAATTTTTATTCATAAGAGTAGCATTGTAGCAAAATTTTATAAGCTTGTTTGTACTTATGATATTAGTACAACACAAGGATGAAATTAAATTGTTAAATAGGATTATTGTATTTAGATTTGATATAGGTGTAACAATGATACTCACTGATTGAGTAGCTAAAATTTGTAATTGAGGGTCGGTTGATTCTAGTAACTTTTGAACCATTTTCAGAAAACTTTCTACAAATAAATTTAGAGTTTGAGCATGACAAGCGGCTAATAATTGATCCATTGCTTCCATAGCAATAATAACAAATCCATTTCTACGCCTATAAAAATGTAATCAAACAATTCAACAGAAATTGAACTATCTATTGATTTGATTAAACTTAAACTTGCCTAGAAATATCTCGCGATGCTCTTTGAAATAGATACTCTCCTATTCTATCAAGTTTTTCTGGACTGCTTAGTGAATAAAACATTAATTTTTCCATGTTATTTTTAATCAACCCATCCTAGAAATAAAATAATATAGTGTTATAATTATATAATTTCATAACAGAAATACTTTCATCAATATTGCCTAAAAATAAAACAAAAATCTGTTTGTTTTCAAATAGAGGGTTTTGTTGAATAGATATTTCTACAGATCATGAAAATCTCTGATAAGAATTGTGTAGAAAGAAAATTATCAAAATATTATTGCTATAATAATGAATGCCTTGATATGAAAATATTAATTAGTCATTGTTTTTAAGCACTTAATTAAATTTGATGCACTGTCACTGTACCTGTGGGTTGACTGGGAAAATATTGTCCACTAATCGTTTGTACCTTGGTCTTAGCGCAGAACAACACCAACAACAGCCTTTAAGAAACAGAAGTATTATTATTAAATTATGGTTAAAGCAGAAAATTTTAGCGTTAAGCTGATTGATATTACAAAACATGTTGGCCAATTTTGAACTTGATTACGCTAATCAATGGTACTGGATAGAGATTAAAAATTGTAGGTCGGTCGTTTCTAAGCTATTTTTTGCTCTGTCTAAATCCTACTTCAAACTCCCAACCCAAGTCTACGCTTGACACCCACTCACTACAATACGTAAATAACATGCACGTAAACGTGAAAAATCAGGCAGCCAGCCTTGCCCCAGTGCTAAAACAGCGTTGCCGCTGGAAAAAAAATTTTCAGGGTCCCTAGTAATTATCTAATTTAACATAATGCAATAATTTCTAGGGACCCTGAGAAAAATTTATTCAACGGCAACGCTGCGCGTGCATGATGTGTTAGCACTTGCATGGTAACTTGGCATGATTGCATAGTGTGCATGTGCATCTATGTGTGTCTTTCACTCTCCTCTCCGAACCACGAAGTAATTAAATCACTAATATTTGACAAAGCCAATATTAACCCTTAAAGGTCACCGTAGGTCAATTTGACCCCTTCCATTTTCAAATAAAATTGTAGTTATCGAAATACAATTTAAAAACGGCCGAGATAACGCCATCTAACTTTAATGAAAGATACTTGGTAATGGTTCGACTTCGATGCGGATAGTATATATAGTTCGACAAGTTCAACTGTTTGTCGTGAGCTTATTTTGGTCTGATTGGCGTCAATTAGAGGCGTCAGTCAGTCTGTTGTGTTCACACAAAATAGACGCCTCGTATCTTATACTTGAAAATAAACATCTTTTAACGTGGAACTTCTATACTAGCGTTACGAAATTTTCTTTTAAAAACGTACACCATCAGAATGTTTTGTTTCTTTAAAGTATAATATCTCAGGAATATGTGACTAGATTCTAGTTTAAAATATTTAAAATTAACAACTTTATGATTTTTCAGTAAGTTATTTTTTCAGTTTTTTTTGTAAACTTTTTTACTATAATTATTATGAAAAAGGCTTTTGGAAATCACTTAAACAAATGCTTCGATACTTGAAATTGATGTATGAATTTTTCCAGCAGCCTAAAATTAATTTTTTTTCGTTTAAGAGCCATTGAAAGTCGCTAAGGTCAATTTGTCCCAGTATTACCGTTTCAGGATTTTGCCGAAGTCTGACCTTTAAGGGTTAAAATAAGAAAAAGCGGTTTTGAGTGATTTGTCTGTAAAAGGCTCAAATTTTTTAAAATCTCTGAAATTAAATCTAATTTTTTTATTACATTTTCAAATGTCTTATATTTGTATTTGCATATTTATAAGATAAAACTTATAACAATAATACTAAATCTTAATTAAGAAAATACTTGTAAGGTTGAATGTTCAACGAATATTTTGAGAAAAAAATGTTTTAATCGAGCTAAAAACTAATAAAAAGCTCGACATTAAATAAATCTTTTTTAAGTTATTCAATAAAATGCCACACTATTAATTGTAAATTTAATAATAAAAGCGTTTATTTTGGAAAACTCTATTTTGTAGGGGCTTCATAGCGTACGTTTTCTTATATTATGTCAATGATGTTGTATTTAATCTGTTAGGAATTTTCCTTACATAGACATATTTATGTTAATGAGTTCCTAAAAGTGTGTTTATTACCTTGAATTGAAAAATTTATTATTGCCAATATTATTGATGAAAAAAAATTGCGGTTAGATCACCTCATAGACTTGATCGCTTAAGGGTGAGTGTGTACGTGTGTATCGGGAGGAGGGAGGACATTTACTATCAGAAACAGAAACTTATTTATTTTTATTAATTTCAAATTGTGAAAATTCTGCATTAACAAAATGTGTAAGAATTTATCATAAAAGATGTAAATGCATATTAAAATGAATAAATGTGAATAAGAAAAACTATAAATAAGTTTGAATGGAAATATCTTCTAATCGTCCCTGCAAGTTTAGACGCTTGACGTCAAAGCGTGTAATGAGAATTGACATAAGTGAAGCAGAAACGAATGAAAATAATGAAGGCAACAGTTGCCATGTGCAAAAAAAAAGGCGAGCTGGGAACGCAGTTATAAGCAAGCGAGTAGGAAGGAAGGAAAGAGTCGATGGGGGAGAGCGAGGAGGGAAAGGGCTGTATGCGTATATGTCGGTTAGAGTCATGATCTGCTGACTTACATCCTGGATCGGTGCACTTGCTTACGACGGACTCGAACAAGTCCGGCGCCTCGGCCTCAAAACAGCACCTGATCAAGGCCATCTCGCACTAGAGACTCGGATTGACTGGCTGCGTAGCTTCCAGCTGTGGCATGTTCGTAGTGGCCTCGAGTGCCGAATCGAGCAGCGGCCAGCGAGACGCGTACGACCGAGAGTCGCGGCTCTGCTCTACTGACCCTCGTCGACCTCGTGTCACTGGTGTGTAGCGCAGTGGCAGCGGCTGCGCTGTATCTACGTACTTCGGCCCCTACTCTCCTGCCGCTCGCCACTGCACGTGCGCGCCCTTAATCGCGCAACGCCAAACCTTATTTACATTCGATTCCCTCTCGCTTTCCTCCACACGGCTCAGAATATTTTACCTTATCGTGGACATAACGCAACTTCAGTAGGCTCCATAACGGGATTGCACTAATTGGATGTATGTCATTGTCTTATTCTGGACCGATCGATGCGCAACTTTTAATAATCTCACTTGGATTTTTTCATCATAACTTTTCCCTCTGTGGGCAGGCTTTCATTCGCACTTCCCCTGTTAAAAAAGGTTCATTAAAAAAATTAAGAAACAATAAAATGGTATTAAAAAATCGTATAGATGTGAATTTAGTAATACCGTTTAATGTGGTTTTGAATGCCATTCAATTGTTTTTAATAAACCTATTTTAGTAAGGTCTTTACACATAAAAAGATATATACCTATTAACGCCCCTTAGCCTTCTATTTCTTAGCAAATCGCAGTTTTGACTGTGTTTATTTGTAACGTACACGTTTCAAATTGATAAAGCCACTCCAAAGCCCTAAAGCTCAACTAGCTCGAGTATAAGCTTGGAACTGCTTATCGAGCTCCAGCTGAGCTTTTACAGAATACTTATATTATTTGAAAACATTATCTTATTAATTAATAATATATATTGTGTATTTGTCTTACGTGCCAATTCCTGCCAATTTATCAAACATAAATACAAATATTAAGTTTTCCTAACAACACAGCCCCTTTCAGCCGAAAACGCCACTCTCAGTCTTTGAGCGCTCATAACTAATGTTACAGACATCAAAACAAATTCCGATAGCCATATTCTGAAAGTTTAAGAGATACTCTTTCCGATGATGCCCACGAAACTTGTATAAAAAATTATTTGTCCGGGTAAAATGCAGTTTAAAAAACACGAATTTTTCACACCCTTTTTTTTAATTTGAGTTTTCAAAAAGTTTCCGTAATGTAATGATGTTGGAAAATCACTAACCGGAAGAATATATTGGAAAAAAGTATTGCTAATATATTGGAGATATATTGGAAATTGCTATTGGAAGTCTATTGGCAATTGTGCGCTCTAGGTCGATCAGTAATATATTACCATTAGTCACTAAATGCACCAATGATCTCATAAACTATGGGCAATATGTTAACAATTTGATTATTTTTTTACATTTTACCAATTCCGTAGCTACAAATTGCCAATATTAATTATCAAAAATTGTTATTTTTAGTATTGGCAAAGTATTAGCAACATTTTCCACGCCGCATATTAAGGATACCTTTTCCAATATATCAGTCATACAATCTCTCCCATATACATCGCACATTATTAATCTATTTCGCCAATACTTTGCCAATACTATAATTGCTTCTAAATATTTTTTAATAAAATATCGATATGTAAAAATAACTTTATATCAAGCATTACTTTAACACAATTTTTTTGAGTGTAGAATCATTTGAAGTGACAATTATTATGCGTGTATTAATTAAAGATTAGGGTGGCGCAGTGAGCCAATCATATAATTTATAGCTGTGGTGAACTCCGATGTTCTCAAACTTGGTGTGCATTTCTTATTTACATAATCTGTAATAGATAAAAGTTAATATTTTATCATTTTTGTCAATATTACAGGCGCATATTCGTTTTACTTACATTCAACATATCCAACAATATCTTCAAGAATACTCGTAGCCGTCTTGCGCTTAGAGTATCCTCTAGTGCACATGTTGATGAGGTTTTTATTACCTACCAGTATTCGTACCAGTCGTCGTGTCATTTCCTTTGGCTTGGTTTTCCATCGATATAGCAACGTCTTATCAATAAGGATTATTTAAATCATTACAAGTGTCTTATACTAGGATTCCAATTATTATGCCAGGAAAAAGTCACAGGCGCATCGATAGATCTACCCGAATAACACCAAAACGTTTTAAAAATGTTATAAAAACGTTTCGCTCAAAACCTAAAACGTTTAGCAATTTCGGTTCCAAAAACGTTTCGAAAACGTTTGAAAAACGTTAAATATGACCGTTAAATAACCCTATAGTCTTAGAAACGTTCCAAAAAGGTTCCGAAAACGTTTCGAAAAGATTTTAATAAGGTTCCGAAAAAGTTCTGAAAGCGTTTCGAAAACTTTCCGAAAAAGTACTGAAAGCGTTTTCAACGCAGTTTTTCCGGTATCAGCTAGAAACCCGAAATGTTTATATAACTAGCTTTTTAAAGTTTGGAAACACTTAAAAACTAATTTTTCAATATAATTCGCGTAGCGTTTGCAACATTTTTTTCAAATTTGTGTGCTAATTAACCATTCAACTTGTGTACTTAATTAATTATTAATTGATCACATTTTACTTCTTTCGCAATATTATTAAGTATATATGAGGAGAGCAACCGCTAATCCTTTGTGATTTACTATATTTAAAAAATTAATATTTTTTAATAGTAATATATTAATATTTATTAATAGTTAATATTTATATATATCAATAATATTAATATGAAAAAGATGACTAAAAATTAAAAGAAAGATAAATCATGTTAATTTCGAAGTAAACAAAATTTGGAAAATATACATAAACAATTTTTATTTTAACTAATTACCAATTCAATTAACCTAGATCAAATATTTTTAGCTATATTCAATTTCTTACCAAATTTCATTGAACTAGAAAATAAATACGTCCAATGAACAAAATTCTTTTATATAACTCAATTACAATATTTATAAAAAATACTCTCTTAAAAACTCAAATGTTTGTTATTTTATCTCAAATTTTTTTCACAACATTTCATGAGATAATTCTTTAAACTACAATTTATATAACATATATATGGTAAGTCTTGGCTATTTCGATATGGATTCAGAGACATCAAGTCACGGACATTTTCTAACTTTATATAATTGTTGTATGTATAGAAGTAAGGTTTTTCCTAAATTTTCAACTTGAAATATTAATTATAACAAGTTATTAACAATTAAAAAAATAATAAAAAATATTCAAATGATTATATTTCAAAAACTAATAAAAATATCGACGTTAAACTTTTTTTATAATACGTGTAAAACTATAAACTATTAAAATAATTCTGACAATGAATATTAATTATTTTTTTGAAAAAGTCAACAACTTTTTTTTTAAACAAAAAATTTGAGATAAAATAACAAACATTTAAATTTTTAAGAGAGTATTTTTTATAAATATTGTAATTGAATTATATAAAATAATTTTGTTCATTGGACATATTTATTTTTTAATTCAATGACATTTGGTAAAAATTGTATCTAGCCAAAAATATTTGATCTAGGTTAAATGGATTGGTAATTAGTTAAAATTAAAATAGTTAATATATATTTTCCAAATTTTGTCTACTTTGAAATTAACATGATTCATCTTTCTTTTATTTTTCAGTCATCTTATTCATATTAATATTATTGGATAGAACATTATAACAGTTGATTAAATTATCATATTGAAATTCAACCTTTAGACTGATTATTGAGTGACTCTGTTATTCTTTTCATATTTAAGCGAACCAAAAACTATAACGTATCCCGATTGATACCTTCACTATCATAAGAACCCGTGCATAAGAGGTGAGTTTCACGATTTATTTTCTTTTGGATTTCGACGGTAATACAGTTGCATGCAAAATTATCCCGCCAATCATAATTTTATAATTAACTGTGGTTGAAATAGTGTAAAATGATAATTTTCATATACCATTATAAAGTGCATTTATTGTGCTAAATTACTACATAGTTAAAGAATTAAATATGTATAACAATCAATAATTGTTATATTTAATTCAATCAAGTAATCAGCTTGTCTAAACAAAAATGTTGATACTTCATAAATATTCGGCCAAAATTTATAACAGTATTTACTAATCGGAAAATAGTGTTTCGCTCCATGTGATATGTAAACATTGAGTACGCTATTTATCCGATCAGTTATCATTCGCCAAGATGCCGAAACGGACGTCATTAGATAAACGTGAATTGGTTTTGAAAATTTTTTTTATTTTTGCAATTGGCCAATTTTTGAAAAATAAAAATTTAGTCAAAAGAATTCGAAAAAATTCTCGTGTATTCTTTAGATAATTGTAAGAATATTTTATTCTTAGCAATTTTTTCTACATATGCATTATTGCTTCTACAAAAATAATAATATTGCTATAACTGTATAGTTTAACAACAAATTTTGATAAAGGATAATACTTTAATATTTGTTATTTTTTTCCTTGTATAACATGTCATACTTATGTTTCTTTCGCAACTTATGTGTCCTTGATCTTTTAGATTACGACTATAAAAAATGTACTGTCATGAGTCCAATATAGTGATAAAATGTAATCTTAAAATTAAAAATATTAGAATAATAATATATGAAACAATTAATTAAACGTGATACTGGAAATTGCTAAAACTGTTGAGTTCGTATATATTATGTAATTATTTAACTAAAGTGTGAAATGAATAGTACATATATAGAATTTGTAGTTTTATAGTTTTCAGCAAAACATTTTCTAATTATATTGTTGTAATGTATTAGTCGAGGTAAATTAGTGTAAAGATTCTTGTTCTTAATTGTGAGTAGGCAACATAAGATATAATCACCAAATGTAAATAATGTTATTTCAAAGATTTTTAATAAAGTATTTTTGTATCACACTTATTATTTCGTTCTTTTTGATCATCGTACAATAGTTATCATAATTTTTATAATAATTTAATTAATAATTTATATTATTTAATTTTTACATTAATTTTATTGATTTTTATATTAATTTTTATATTAATTAAATTAAATTTAATTAAAATATTTATACTACCCCGGCGAATAACCAATGGATGAGTCTCGAAGCAAACCACTGTGCATGCAACTTACTCGTTTTCACATTCGAAACTTGCGCCTTCCGATACAGTCAATATTTTCGACTTTGACGTCCTTAACTAGTACATGCTGACACGCATTACCGCCGCGGTACGTTAGCGTCCCGTACCAAAAGTTATAGAATTCTACTCCAGCTAGGTCGTAATACTCGGTTACTCTCGTAACGTAAGGCCCACGCTAATGAAGCAGCGCAACATTATAACATTATTACAATTATTAGTGATGTTTATATGATGTTTCTATTGTTTTTTTTTTCAATTGAAAATCTATATATATATATCAATATGAAACAATATTTGATAGTACCTTTGTTTTCCTAAGGACTTTAATTTTCAAACCAAATGTAGAATTGATTGATTCGGTGAGTTCAATATTTTTATCATTCCTAACACTAACCTAACCTCACAACTAATTTTAACATACTTATGTTGCAATTTAAAATTGATGGCTCTTATTTGAAAAACTTGGCGTCTCGCTATGAAAATATATATCACGATTAATTTTACGTTTTTGCGATTGTATTGTTTTTACAATTTTTGAAGAATTAAAAGAAAAAACGTTATTTAAGAAAATAGACTAATTAGATATTATCTTAGGTATTACAGGCAATATAAACTAAGAAAATGGCGCCAGTACCGCTGGAAGGACATCAAACTCCTGTTACTAATATGCCACAAGAGGGAAATCGCGGAGGTTCCATTTCACTCGGATTGCTAATTGATTTCATAATTCAGAGAACTTATCACGAACTAACTGTTCTAGCTGAATTGTTACCTCGGAAGACTGATATGGAACGCAAGATTGAAATTTATAACTTTTCTGCTAGAACTCGCCAGTTGTTTGTAAGACTGCTAGCCTTAGTCAAGTGGGCGAGTAGTGCTACAAAAGTTGAAAAATCTGCACACATTATGAATTTTCTTGATAAACAATCATTGTTATTTGTTGATACAGCAAACATTTTAGCTAGAATGGCCCGAGAAACTCTAGTTCATGCCAGATTACCAAATTTTCATATTCCAGCTGCTGTTGAGGTTTTAACAACTGGTAGTTACAACCGTCTTCCAGCTTGTATAAGAGAAAAAATAGTTCCTGCAGATCCAATCACTCCAGCTGAAAAGAGAAGCACTTTACAGAGATTGAATCAAGTTATTCAACATAGGCTGGTGACAGGTAATTTGTTACCACAGATGAAAAATCTTAAAATTGATGCTGGTCGAGTGACATTTAGAGTAGAACAGGAATTTGCTGTTTCCCTAACTATTATGGGAGATGGACCCAACTTGCCATGGAAATTATTGGACCTCAAAATACTAGTCTCTGATCGCGAAACAGGAGATGGGAAATCATTAGTGCATCCTCTTCAAACGCAGTATGTACACCAAGTTATTCAGAGGCGTTTAGCAGAAAGTAATGACCCTCTTGCTGAAGTTTATCACATCCTTCATTACTTCTGCCAATCGTTACAGCTAGAAGTACTGTACTCCCAGACTCTACGGTTGATTAGAGATCGATTGGATGATCACATAAGAATAGATAAGTATATATGTGGTGAATGTTTAACCATTTCATACTGGAAGGAACTGACAAATAAAGATTCAGGGTCTGAGCTTGGTTACAAACTAAGTGTCATAGTTGGTCAGCACGATCCAGCAAAACCATTGACCATTGTGCATACTCCATCATTGGCAAATAAAGAATGTGAAATTTCAGACTCTGCCATAAGGTCAAATCAATTGTCCATGGAGTATCTATTAGTGCACACGATATATATAAGAACGAGAAATCGCTTAAATGATCTGAAGCAAGAAATACAGAGTATGTTTAAGGGTACCGAATGCACACTAGCTGGTTCTCCCGCGGTTTTAACGGTTCCAGTTCTGCAGCCATGCCTCAGAGCTGAATCGCTCCTAATAGCAGTAGACACCCACACTGGAATGTTGCAATGTCACATACCGCAGTACGATGCTCCTCTCGTTCCCGATCTTACAGCAGCACTAAACGAGGATCACTCCAAGTTGCCTGCGTTAATAACCGAGTTCAGATACTGGATAACAAAGAAGCGGTGCGAGAAAACACTGCAACATCTACCGGCTTCGTCCCACGAGAAACTGCCGCTTCTATATCCGGCTGACCATCCGATCAATTTGATCAGCAGGCATCGGATGTTCGTCCAGTTTCACCGACATCCGAGCGTCATCCTGATAGTGGCGTTCAAGGAGAACGAGTCGTCGTCGTGCGAAATTCAGTGCTCATTTTACCTGTGCGCAGTGAAGCCAAGCTCGACCGAAGGACAAGAATCCCACGACGACAATATCGACGCAAGAAGTCACAACATTTACCTGAAGCTCGACAGCTTGATTGAATTCGACACGTTCGTGGTAACGCACGGATCGTTCACGAGTATCGACTGTGAGAACAGCGAGCCGGAGCCCTGCGGCTCGACGGACGCAGGCGACAAGACCGCCAAGAAGCGCCGCAGTATTGGGCTGAGCACGAGGGCAGACACAGGCGCGACGGCCCAGAAGCGAGCCAAGTCCCCGGCTTACTTCATTCCTGAGCTGGCGCACGTGGTAGCGCTGTGCGACGAGCAGATCCCCTTCGTAATGTTGGCCCAGGAGCTGACGAAGCGCGAGATCGCTCACCAGGGCCTGCAGATCGAGGCGAACGCGACAGCGCTGGTGCTGAAGCTGGTGCAACTGCCGGCCCCCGCGAGCGGCGTTATAGGCAGCGCCGCCTGGAGCGCGTTGCTGAAGCGGCTACTCAGTGTGGCAATACGCGTACAGGCCAAGGGTACCACCAAATTCTGGCTGGTGGAGTACGTGTTTTACGGGAGTCCGCTGATGAGCAGCCAGCCGAAGGAACAAGGCCTGCGCCGGCCGATCTACTTCCAGTACGAGATGGGCAGCGTGGAGGGAGTGGGCCAGGTGGTCGACTCTCTGCTAGCCGATTGGGCGCAAATCGTTAACCTGTATGCGCTGACGCACGATCTCTCCGAGTACTACCGCATGGAGAAAAACAATCTGCGCAACATTGCTACCGTCAAGTCCTACAACTACAGCAAGCTGCTGATGGCTTACGGGCCGCAGCGCCGGGCCACAGTCATGGTCAAGTGGCTGGCCACCGACAAGTGCTTCAGGCTGTACTTCGGCCGCAGCCCGGCTACGGCCATCGAGAACGCGCATTCGCTGCTGAAGGAGCAACTCGAGGCTTGCCTCAACCGCGACCGTAACCTGGTGGAGGTGGTGCACATGCTGAACGAGAGTCTGGCGCCACTCACATCCGTTGCCAAGCTACCTATCATACCGCAGCTGGGCCTACACGACATTAAGCGCTTGCCCGTGCAGACCTTCGTGTTGATGCCACAGTGCATAAGCCTCGTGCGCATCGCCTACCAAAGCACCTACTGCTTGGAGCTGTGTGTCCGGGGCGATGGCCTGGTGTCACTGCGCGATGGCGCCTATAGTCGCTTTGACCATAGCAACGTCGTCGAAGGCTTCACACCCATCCAGTGCCTCAGCACCTTCCTCTCGCAGTATGCCGACAAGAACGCGCTTTACCGGCGCCGCAGTCAGTCAGAGGACGATAATCCGCCGTCGCCGGTGACGATTGAGGGTGGCGAGGCCCCCGGCGCCGCTCCCGGCCAGGGTCCTAGCAGTATGGGCTTCCTGGGACACCGAGGACCTCAGTCCCCCGCGGCCCAGCAGCAGCGCTTCCACCCGCCAGCTACGCCGCCCTCGGGCATCAGTAACCCCAACACGCCGGCGAGCCCGCACACGGCTAACCAGCAGCAGCCGCAACAGGCGGCTCAGCAGGGCTACGGCAATAGCCCGGGCATGTCGCTGAGCCTGGCTTCGCCGCCGGCGCTCACACCGAGTACGCCCAACGTGATGCCCCACCCGTCGCCGGGCTCGGGCCTGGTGGCTAGCCCGCTGAGCGGCCAGATGCACGCGCCTAGCCCCGCCGCGCTGCTGCCTACCTCCTCGCCTGGGCCCTGCGGCAGTGTCGGTCAACTCGGCCACTCGCCTGCCAGCTCGTTCATGCAGCAGGGCGGCCACGGACTAGACGGTAGCCCCTTTCCCCCGTCGCAGAGCATGGCCTCGCCGGCCGCCTCCAATTGGGTCAACTCGCCGAGTATCTCGAGACCGTCGCCAGTGCGTCCGGGCCAGAGTCCTGGAAGCGGCCACGTCCCACTGCACAGCCCTCAGCAGGCCATGCAGTCCGGCCAGGCGGGCCAGCTGGCCGAGTTGCGCATGCTGCAGCACGTTTCGCGGGTGCTGCCGCAGCGCTCGTGGGCCGGCGCTATCCCCACCCTGCTCACCTACGAGACGCTCGAGTTGCTATGCAGTCCGTCCAAGCACCCTGCCCAACTGCCGGGCCCCGACATGTCGCCCCTCGAGCGCTTTCTCGGCTGCGTTTTCATGATCCGCCAGCTCAAGCGCTTCATTCAGAGCAATGAGAACCTGACCATCATCGGAAGCTCCGAGCCAGGCGTCATGCACTTCAAGGTCGACAGCCTGCAGTGTCGTGTGGCCCTTAATCCGCAAAACATGCAGTCGCTCCACATCAAGATACAACCGGCGCCCGAGACCAACAAGCAGTGGACACACGATGAGCTGCAGCTCCTCGAGAAGTTCTTCGACAGTCGCGTAGTCGCGCCGCCCTACAAACCAACCGGCCTGCTGTCCTTCGTCAATATGCTCAACATGCCTTTCAATGTGCTGCGCGACTTCATTCAGATCGCTAAGCTCGAGCTCATCCCGGGCCTGCTGCAGCAGCAGCAGCAACAGCAGCAACAGCAGCAGCAGCAGCAGCAGCAGCAGCCGCCTCCGTTCAAGTGGTCGGTGCAGCTGTGCATGCGAGTACCACCCTCGGTTAGCCACGTTGTTGGCGGTTTAGGCTCTGCCGCCATGCTGCAGCATGTGCAGCACGGAAAGGTCAAGGTGCTGTTCTTTGTGCACATGACACGTTTGGGCATTCACTGCAGCGATGGCGAGGAGCCTCCTTCCATTGCGTTGCCCCTTATCTACGATATTAGGGCCAACAACGTAACAGTGACCGATGGCCGCGACTCGCTCAGCCCGGTCATGGCGGCCGTGTCCATGTTCCTTAAGAGGTTTGCCGAGTACGCAGCCAACGCTCAGGAGTGCAGTATCTTCCCGGCCATCAGAAACCTTATGGTCAACATGACTCTACCTTCGGAGAACATCGTGCCAGGCCAGCCCATGGCGCCTAACATGGCCGCGGGGCCTATGCCAGGACCAGCTCAGCAGATGCCCAATGCCGGTCCCATGCAGATGATGCCTCAAGGACCACAGGGTCCGCCGCAAGGACCTTACAGATCTCAAGGCATGCCGCCGATGAACATGATGCCCGGTCCCCAGTGATATTAAAAGTAATGAGTTTTATTTCATCCCTATTTTCTTTTATTCTTTTTTTCCTAAAGTATTTTATTAATTTTCTCTTATTTTTAGATAGATAACAGTGTCTTTTAATACCTCCCAAATGTATGTTCGATGAATTTGGTCCATTGAACGTTAACTGAAGGAAACTGGATAACCTGGATTTAGAATTGTTTCAATCGTACGAACAAGATATAAGACCAATTATCAAAATGGTTTCATTATTTCTGGTTGTGAGAATGTTCCAAGAAAGTGAAACCAGTAGAAGTGATTTCATTCATATCGATTTCGGTTCGATAAATCCGATTACGTTTATGTTTAATAGTGGCAGGCACAGAATATCTGTACGTTACGACTACATTTTGCTCACAAGAGTATTCAATTCATTTTTATTATCATGGTTATAAAAAGTATTGGTTTGTAAATAAGTCGACATTTTATTTTTTATAAGTTATAAGGTATTTATTAGCTCTTTGTATTTAAATAGCATGGAAATTACGTGCTTCCAGGAGAATTACTGGATGTAAATATATTGATGTCGATTAATCGTAAATAGTTGGTAAGCAGATTTTTAAATGAAACAAAAATTTAATTTTTTTGTTACAATATAAGTATTTTGAGAAAACTGTTCATTTGTTTTAAGAAAATAAATATATGACTATACAATCGATTGTTCAATATTACCTCAATTAGAAAATAATAATTATTAGTACATTTCATTATCTTTAATAGTGTATCACTAACAATAATAGTATACGCAAAAACGAAAATAACGATAAACCAGAAATCGTATATCTTCTGTAGCCAAATTATTGCTCATCGAATGAAATTTAGATGCAAATTGGACACGGTTTAGCTCCAAATAATTATGTGTTCTTTGAAGCTGAAGTAATATATCACAATAGCAATAGGAACAAAGAATAATTTTTGAAAGCGTACATACACGGGTATGCATGCATTTTTTTAAGACTTATAGATTCGTGTAATTAAAAGGACTAGTACAACGAAGCGGAGAATATTTTGGAAAGCTCGGAAGAAAGGCAAATGATCTGCGGCTGAGTGGCTTTAATGTTTTCCTTGCTTGAAAGAAGTATTAGGTAAGGAGTTGATTCTTGAAGAAGTTACAAAGCGATGACGATCCTGAGCTCCCCCCTCTCTAACTCACGATATCGAGTCGAGAGCTCGCGTCAGTGAAAGTTTCCCACTTGTCTTTCGACTCATCGCACGTTCTTATTTCTTACCGATGATGAAGCATCATTTGCGGATTATTTAAGAGAAGCATTTTTCTCGAGAGATCGAGCTTGCCAAAGTTTGAATTCGTTTGTTTATACCGGCAGTTAAAGTACGTTTCTCATTCACTAATGATCTTCGCCAGAGATGACAATCGGTATAACTAGCAATTCGACAGAATTACTGAATTTTCGGCTTTTTCAATAATGGCTGTATGTTAGAGATAAATTTGGTTGCAGGTATTGTATTGACTATAGGTACCGATCTGTTTGAAGCAACCAATTGATACTAATTAATTGTACGTATGTCGCCAATGAGTCAAAGAAAGCGCGCGAGTTACATGATGCGCATGTATACACGACCAGCACGAAGGCGGAAATATCGGTGAAAGTTGGGCGGCAGATCAGTAGAAGGGAAAGAAGACAGATTAACAGGATGTCGCGCACGATATGCTATATATAATATATGATATAATTAATTGGCTGCATTTAGCAAGGTAATGGCGGGGGCCCGTGCACTGACTTGAAATTGAAAGCAGCCGTTCTTCTAAGATGCACACGAGAATTGAAGGACGTGATCGAGCGTGCGCGTGCATTTGATGTCGATTGCACGCATGGTCTGCACATCATACGAGCCCTTATTATCGGCGGTCTTATCCTTCCGTTCGACATATGATTATATAAGTGGATCGCACACAATGTTGATCAGTGGCCCAGATTATGGTCCTACTAACTGTCTGCCCTGCTTCCATGTATACTCAATTGCCGATCCTTCCTATCGTCTGCAAGTAGGTATAACTCGAATAAAGACATACCCAGCTGGTCGTCTTTAGATTGAAGGTCATTCGCAAGTGTAGATTGTATACGTGCGCTCTAACGCAGCACCAAATTCGACAGGTACGAGAGCAGCCCAAGCTATAATATGCCGTTTTCCGGTCAAATCTACGTTGGTGCATATCGCCGATGTTCTTTATTTTCTGCATGCAGAGCAAAGGCCAGTTTTCTGCCGATCGAGTATGTAATCAATATTCATCTGCTTCTCTGGCCGTGCAGCTGTCGTAAGTTCGATATCCAGAATCCAGAACTGCCATAATGGCCTCGAGTCACGCCGTTTTTCTTGCGTTTAATGAACGTATTGACTAACGGGCAGTTCGCACAGGGAGCAGAATAACCGCACGTAGTACACAGTGCGTATGTAAGAAAATTGATCGTTCAGCAGCCGAAGCAGAGTCCGATCGCGAGTGGCAACACAGCCAGCCCATTAGAATGCAAGTAATGTCCCATTTGGATTCGTCCGACAAATCAGTGCGAGCGTTCGGCCGGAAGATAGTATTCAGTGGTCCTGGCGAAGGACACCTCATGCGAACGAGTCGATGGCAGTGCAAGAATATCACGAGCTGAATTGAACAATGGCATGCTGGATGTACATAGTCGAGAACGAGAAATCGGAGAAATTATATTATCGCTTGTTGGCTGGCTGGCTGGCAGTGACCGAGATGAACGCTTATCTCGCTCTATCTTTGTTGGTGGCAGCTAGTCGCCTGTTTCCTTTCTCGGAAGAAACACTGTAGCCATTTCGGATCCGCGGGATCAATGGTGCGCATCCGAGCAGTGAAAGAACTTTGACCTTCGACTTGAATTTGTCGGCACTGCCGAGCAGACGCGCGCTCCAACCTCGAGCGTACTTCCGGCCGTTTGGCTTGGCGTAATGCACTTGCTCGAAAGTTCGTACGGCGTGCGAACTTGGCGCGCCAACGAGCCATCGGGGAAAGGCAGCTCATCGCTGCCGGTCCTTGGCAACTAATAAGACAAGTCCAAGAACGGGCGCGGGGGCCTAAAGCAGTGCGGATATAGGCGAGAAGCGATCGAGCGAGCGAAAGTGAATTGTTGCGCGCAGGTGCGATGTTTACGAGCGAGCTCGCTGCACTTGAGTTTGCTTCGAGCGCGGCCGCACGACGGTCATTCGCAGCTGCCGTTATTAATCGATCGCTAATTGGATCGTATATATCGGCGAGGTGCCGTTGCCCAGCCGCGAGTGCCGCCCGGCTCGCTGATACAAGCTAGAAAAGAGCGCGCGTACGGGCTCGCGAAGCAGTACGAAGGCAGCAAGAGCCAAGTGCAGAGAAGGAAAGCGGCTCGTCGTTGCTGATCGAATGCATCGCTGTAAGCTTGGCCTGATCGCGGATGAGCCTCCCGTCGACTGGCCGTGAAGCCGCGATCGCGGCTTTGCGGATCATTTCAATCCACTTGATGCGCGATAAATAATCCGAGCTGTGTGCAGCGCGATCGAAGTCTTTTTCGCCGCGAGACTGACGAGAGTGTCGCGAGTGTCGCGTGCACATCGGCCATCGGTGCATGGGAACGTCTCGACGGCACTGGCGGCGCTGGCGGCGACAGGTTTATAAGCCAATAATTACGACTGGATCCGAGGAATTTATAGACGCAGATGCTTCAATTAGAGAGATTTGCGTGGACATTTTAATTAAGGCTCTCTATGCGCATCGGCTGGACGAATTAGTCGGCCGAGCGGCTCGACTCGATAGCTACGGGCGTAGTTATCTGGTCTAAGTTATGGCTCCGGCGAGTCTGTGGCGGCTGGCGAGCTGCCTACTAAAAGCGAACTGAAAAGAAAATCAAGGTTAATCTTTGTGGCTTTGTGCTCCTGAATTAATCAGTTGCCGGCGCGCGCGAATGAAAATGATTTGAAAGCGCAGGCAAGGGCAGAGAGTGCGCGGATTTAATGCGGCTGACGGACAGCTGCGCGGATAAATTGCTTCTGCTTACTACGAGCCTGCAAGGATCCTTCTGTCGCGCTGCAGCGCCGTGTCCTTTGCTCGGCGCTGCTGCCGCGAGAGCATCAGAACGATAACTGCCCTCACCTTGATTTTAACTACGTCATTTGCACTTGGGTTGTTGCACCCGAAAGAGTCGGCACGGAGCACGCAAGCCCCGTTCGCCAGCCACTCGGTGCAGCTCGGCTGTCTGGCTGCGGGAATAAGTAAATGGATAATCGAGCGAGCAGCCGCGAGAGAGCGGGCCGCATAGGGCCGCGGACAGCTGCCGGCCCTAAACCGAGTGGCCAAGTAACGGTGCTCCGCATTCCCGCCAGCGGCACCTACACGCCAGCTCTGTACGCGCGCAAATGTAGGCTATCCGCGTACACTCCGACTGCTCCCCGGGGATCGCGGGGATCGCGGGGATCGCGGGGATCGCGGGGATCCCTTTGCTCGCTGCGCTATCTCGCTCGGCCAATCCCGCTACAATTACTCTCGCCGCGGCCGCCACAAGAGCCCCTATCCGCCAATTAAGCCTGATCGTCTGCGCACGCACGCTTTTTCGGCTCTCTCCCGATGCCCCGCTAACTGTATCTCCTCGCTATCTGCCAACATTCATCCAGCTCCCAGCCGCCTACTCGCCGGCTAAATAACCGCGCGCTTGCTTACCTCCGCCGCAGCGCTTATCTCTCAGTTCCTCTCCTCCTCCGCGCATTCTCTCCGAAATCACCCTAATTTCCTGCTCCGATCTCCTCGCCGATGCCAGTCATTCACCTCCGGCGCCTTGCTCTCCTAGCTAAGTACCTGCACTTGGCCCGCATTCAGTTCCATTCGCTACCCACCACTTATGCCGCTACGCCTCTATTCTCTTTCGTCAATCGCAGCCTTGCTTCGCTTAGACCTGTACGTTTCTAGCATTCCAACTTTCTTCATCGATCTTACCAATTGCACAATCTTATTCGACTTTCTTTTCTAGCTAGCTACTCCTTCGCATAGCTCGTTCGTTTCGTATTAGTCCAACGATAAGTGAAAGCACGGATTTTTAGCAATTTATAAGCCGATTTGCCAAATTCGAGGTCAAGTCATTTTCCATTCTACTTTCGATATCTTATTCTCTCCAAATTTTTATAGTGCTACATAAAGTCATTTTTCAGATTGCTTATAACATTAAACACTCATCACGAGCCGTTTATTGTTCTTCGGTTAAGTCTAATGGCGATTGAAAGATAACATATATTATCACCACCAAAAGCGAGTAAATGTTTATTCAGGTTTTTTCTAATTTTTTAAGTTAGTTTGCGACACTGTTTATGCGAATTATTAATACATGTTAAAAATAACTATGCAATTATAATTCATTATGAATGCCATTGGCGAAATCTCGAACGTTTGTTCAAACACAAAGGAGACATATCGTCAGCGTGCAACCGATTGCTTATTCTATGTTTGATAGATATTTTTGTTGAGTAGATACTTTATTTGCTTATTTTATAAACAGTTCCTTGCTCTCGATTGTTCGAAAAAAAATAGATTCGCAAAACATGATAATTTTTTGTAATATCACTTTGTCAAATTTCACGACACGAATTAATCTATTTTCAAAATCACTCGTGCCAATAGAAATTTCATTCGTAGAATCTACACTGACCAATTAATTTGTTTCTTAAAAATTATTAATTAATCATTCAAAGAAGGAAAATTATAAATGAATCGGACATTTCATTTGTACAATCTGCATAAATGTGATATCAGAATTATTCTTTTCCAAATAAAATTTCAATGTTACTTAACAGACAAAATGTGACAATTCGCGGTAATTTATATTACGTTTTGATTACATTTAAATTGTGAAGTTATATCGTTGATGACTGGTATATGAATAACTACTTATTTCGATTCTATGTGACTGAGTAATTCCCGACGACTACAGATTAAATTAATTAGCATGCACTTTAATCGAGTAACGTTTTGGAAGATTAATTATTTTTCGTAGGAATTTTTTTGCTAAGCCATATTTCTCATATAAGTATCAAATAAAAGTACAAAGTATCGAATAAATCAAATGTTGCATTTGCAAAATGCCATCCATCTACCACCTGCTCAGCTTAATTTTGTTACCTCATGATAAACACATACATAACAATAAGACTGTATTACTCACCGCTTGTGACAATATACGAAGGCCTTTTTTCGAGCAATGATATGCGTGCACGTCTAATAAATTAATGTACTTTATCCATCACGGAAACGTTTACAGGATCATTAGGATTGTGTATAACCGAATGTCGCGTTCCAAAGAAATGTCGATACACATGATATCTATAATATGTATATTGAGCTAGGTATGAACACCTTTTTGGCAGTGAATTCATAACGAGTTTTCAACTTCAAGCGTGTCTAATTCTATTGGTAAGTTTGGCAGGGTTACTTTGGTTTAGTTAGAAGAGTGAATATTGTGAGAATTTGTTTATAAAAAAAAGTAATATTGCCAATCTGCCAGATATTAGAAATATGAGTGGAAATGATGTGGAATCGATGTTAAGATTTGCAATAAACAGTTAGTTCGGATGCAGATGAAGTGAACTATCCACGTAATAACGGCCTTGAATAGTCGATAAATGATAACGTGCGAGTTTGTAATAATGATTACAGCCACTGGCAGGAAATGGTTTGTAAAGTATCGCGCGCACTTCGATATGGTGGTTGGCCGTATGCAATACGAGTACGAGGGTTATACGTGCACAATAAGTCCACAAGGAACGAAGGTGTAAAGCATTTGAGAGCGACTGGTGATGTGCATAAATTCAAAGATGGACATGTCCATACAATAGATTCGAATGTTGCACGGTGAAAAGTAGGGGATACTGAATGCAAGTAGTCGATTACGAAGCGGACGAGAGATCGGAGCAGGCATAGACAAGGCCGTTGAGTATGAATGTACGAAAAGAAAGCAAGTCGGTGGACGTGAGAAGGTGGAAGGTAAAAAGGTGCTTAATTGCGCGGTATGGTCATTGAGCAAGGCAGAATAGGCAAGGCTGAGGGGGGCTTTTCGCCTGTGCGCACTGCCCGCAGCTTATAATTTCATTGAAGAGCCGAGTGTACATTAACACCTGCATCCGACGCGAGTCGCATTAAGAAGCCGCCCGGGGAACTTTTTTTCCACAGCCCCTGTCCGAGAGAGAGAGAGAGAGAGAGAGAGAGAGACTCGCATCGCCTTGGCTTGCCGCGCCTCGCCAGCGCTCGAAGAATGACTTCGCGGCCTATTAGCCTCCGCCTCCCGACCACCTGCATCGAAATCCAATCGAGAGACCTTGGCATAGCATGAAGCTGCAGCACCTCGTCAGCTGCAAATGCACTTCTTCTCGGCCAAGGTCTCTCTGTCCTCGCACTTTCTTTGTCAACTCCTTTAGCTGCTACAACTCTTTCGCCCTCGATCCCGCTTCCCTTTGATCAAAACTCGCGGATAATAAATTGATCCTTGCGCCAGGCCAGCAGTTATTTATTTGACCGTTTGCATCATACCTTCGACAAGCCAATAACCTTCATTCCAATTTCACACCCGCAATACTTAGCTCTTATTGCGAGCGCGAAAGCAATATTTGACTCGGATGAAAAAAATATTTGCTAAGCATGTGCACTCAAGATAATGATCGAAAAGAGTGCTGAAATAATGAATGTTTAACTATCATTCGTTATTATCCGATGAGTTCCATCAATCTTTTCCATCGCGACTTTTTCACGAATGCTCCTTGCACTCAGGCGATACCTAATTGTTTCGTGGGAATCGCATTTTATTTGTCCAAAATCGATAATAACTCATCGATGAAATGACGAGGAAAATACTTGTATGAAATAGAATGCCGATTGGGTCCGTCCGACACTTTGCACAGTAGAATTAAAATAAATCCGACTGATGCTTTGGTAAAGTGACTCAGGAGTTCTATACATAGCAATCAAACCGGATAGTCATTGAATAAACGTCCAAAGTGAGTCTAAAGGCATCGCTTTCTTTCGAATCGAGTTCCAGAAAAGTTGCAGTCTTTTAAAAACATCAAAGATTCTTAATTGGCTATTAAAATTGGAAATGTCGGGGAGGTACGTCAACAGAAATGAAAAAAGTCGGAACCCAAATTAGAGTACAGCTGATGATTGAGTAATTGCAAATGTCAGCTATAATAATGCCGTATTTTTCCGCCAACGAGTTAGCGCATTGTCTCGTTCAATCAAATATTGCAGCAGGCCTGTCATTCGAAAATTTGACTATTACCATATCACTAGGGATGATAGCGGCATGCGCGATTATTCATAATTAATGTATCGGTTCATTTGAGCCTGAAGATATAGATGCTCGATCGTGCGACAAAGCAGGCGATAAAGAATTGTAATGATTTGACAAGCATATGACGTTAAGCGAAGCATAGCTATATAAACCGAGTGAAAGTTCAGGTCATCAGCATTACTCGACTGACGCTCTATGCTCTCGCAGTAAGTGCAATGATCAGCATGAACACTCTGGGTCTGGTATTTTTAGTCGGGGCTGTTGCCAGCGGTAAGCATCCGTTCTGTTTGTTGTTCGTATACGAAAATTCGTATGTATACCAAGCGTTTATTCGAGTCTACATGAATATTTGAATTTGGACAGTAAACGGCCATGTGACTGAAAAAGAGAGAATAGTCGGTGGCAAGCTAGCCGAAGTAGGAGAGTTCCCGTACATGGTATCGCTCCGAATGCGGAACAACCACTTCTGCGGTGGTGCCCTGATCACCAAGAGGCACGTGCTCACCGCTGCCCACTGTATCTATCCGATGACGCAACGTCCGATGCTCAAGCCGTATCTGCATGTCGTTGTTGGCACCAACAGTGTGACCTGGGGAGGCAAGTCCTACAAGGTCAAAAACTTGTCCTACTACCCCGAATACTACGATCAAACTGAAGAGCCTGACTTCATGTACGACATTGGTATCGTCACCGTGAGTATCTCCGAATAACAATGGCTATCGGCGAGGCAAGAGCCGACTAAGCGCGGAACATTTGCTTTGTACCAGCTGGCCGAAGAAGTGAAAGAGAGCAAACTGGTCAAGACTATTGCTCTGCCGACCGTGAACCGGATCCAGGGTGGCGAAAAGGCCGTCATCTCTGGATGGGGCACCATGAAGTCGCCGGACACCCCGCCCTCCGAGATTCTCAGGAAGCTCGACGTAACCATTGTCAGCAACGCCCAGTGTCAGCGATTCTACTCGCGTGATCGGAAAATTGTGCCGAGCCACGTGTGCGGTTTGAAGTGGCGCGGTGCCGGCGTCTGTTCGGTGAGCCGTTGTTGCAGACGTCGCCCCAGGATCGAATACTAAGTTTGCTCGTCTGATTGCAGGGCGACTCTGGCGGCCCATTGGTCAGCGGTGGCGAACTGATCGGTGTGGTTTCCGGCGGCGTTGCCTGCGCCCTGGGCTTCCCCGACGTGTACACGCGGGTCTCGTCTTACCTCAAGTACATCCACAGCGTCATAGACACGAAATAGATCTGGACCACGGATTGCCTCTAGCCTTTAATTACTGTTACGTATTTATTGAAAGATTAAACGACAGTTTACACGTTTGTGCTGCCTTGTGATTTGCTGGCTTTGAGCGCGCTGCGCAAAGAGACGAGTGCTCGGTCAATAACGAAGCTCGCGACATTTGGAGTAATGGCGAGCGCGGCAGTGCGTCCGCGCGCATACAAGTTGAGACGCGCAGTGGCTCGTTCGAGCAAAGAGAAAGTCGCGAGAGCGGCATGCGGCTGCAGGGTGATGCGAGCGACGCGGTATTTGCAATTGAAATAGGCCGAGCCTCGGACGGCCCATCCGAGGCACTTGCCAAAGAGCCGGCGATCTCGCTTGGCGGACGGGGACGCTCGCTCTTGGATGCCCCCCCTGGCGAGGCTCGCCTCGGCGTCAACTGCGCGCCGCCCTCGCGCCCACACCGTCCGCGGCCAGATCGCACGGCCGCTCTGGCTGGCTGTCGCGGCCGCGGTGCGAACGAGCTTCGGATCGCGAGCCGTCCGACCCGGCAGCTGTGCGTCAACGCTCCTGAAAATTCTCGTTCGGATGATGGATCGCGCGGACGAGCAGCTCCTACAACAACACGCCGTCTCGATGCCCTAGCGATCCACTCCATTTTCCATCACGCTCACACGTACGAATTCAAGTATTTTCGCTCCAGCCAACACAGATTCGATTCGGTTACCTCCACGCGGGCCGAGCCACGCAATAGCCAATGATAACAATGCGCTGTTTGTTATTGGCAAATACGCATAAATTGACGTCATTGGCCCTCGTCAACACTGCGGGCCATAAATAATTGGCTTGTCAATCACCAAGATTAACGTTTCTTCGGCTTAATTTATTAACTTTTCGCGTTTGCGCAGCTCCCAATATATCACGCTTCTTTATCAATGCGATTGGTTTTCATTCCACTTGACACTCTCGTCTCTGTGCGTCAGTGTGCAGCAAAATTCAGCGTCGTCCGACCCAGCTGCTTCGGTTACAAGCAAAGTTCACCGATGGCCTGCGAACGAACGTCTGTGCTCGTTCGAATGTGTTCCACTCGGATTATCGAGTAATCAATGGTGACGTAACACCTTTTTATCGCGCGTGCCACGCGAAAACGCTGTCGAGGCCGAAAACTGGCAAATCGTTAGCGCGCGCACAAGGACAGAGCAAACGAGGAGGCCGAGCGACTACTCGGAAGCCCAACCGATTCGCACAGAAACGACTGTCTCGATAATTTCAGAGACGAATCGAAGCAGCATTTTTGCCGGACAGTCCAGTGTACGGCTTGGTTGCGAAAGAAAGAGGGGAGTGGAAAAGGAAAACGGATAGGCTGCGTACGCGCGGAGGAAGCGCAGTATGTCCTAGCTGGCTGTAGGGCATAACTGTATACACGAGGGATATCGTAGGAAGATTAGATGCACCGGTTCCGTACAGTTGCATCGCTGCAGAACAATGCCACTTAATAGCCGAGGATCATTCGTCAGTTGCAGATGCCGTGGGACGCGTGGCTTACTTCGCATCGGCCTGCTGTGGCAGGCTTGCGGCCACGAAAATGCACTTGGCGGCCTGACGATCCGCGTCTCGCTTGGAGAAAGTCCGGCAAAGCGTGGCCGCTTTTTTCCCAATAAGCTCGCGCCAGTCCGACGGCCTTATCGCTGGTTAGTCTGTCGCTTGTACGTATAAGCAGTCGGACGCACGCCGTCATTAACGTAAGCGAGAGCGGGTGGGGCAGAGAGGCGCGCGAGAAAGAGAAAGGCAAAAGCAAAATTATTCCAGTTTCAGCACTCTGACAGCGCTCGAGCTCTATCCCGCGCTCCCGCGCTCCCGCGCTCTTGCTCTTCTCTCTCGCTCTCTACGAGTGCAAATGTGCGCAAAGCCGGCATAAATATTGAAATAAAGCGACAAATTAATTCGTTCGCTTGCAAGCGGAAAAGCGAGTTGTGTCATATCGGTCGGTCGACCGACCGAGCAAATTAATAAGTCCCTTTTTGCATCGAGTATCGACCGTCTCTTGTCGCGACTTACGAAGACAAGAGCCAAGACGGTCGATCAAGTTCCTCTGCGGGCATCAGTGACGCGTTGCCATATCGGTGAGTCCGTGCCGCAGGCCTCGCAAGCTCCGGACAGCGATGCGGCTTAGACTCGGATTGGTCGGCCTGTGGGAGTTTGAGAACGGCATTCTAACGAGCGGCAATATCGGCCTTGAGCCGCGCGCACGCCGCCTCCTTTGTCGGTTCCACGGTGCCACGATTCCGCGATTCCGTGATTCCGATGTTCTCGAAAGCCGCAGCATCGGTCGGGCCCGGCTTTTGCTTCGCTCGACGTCGCGAACCACGAGCGACGCCAAGCTTTCCCTTCTTCGGTCCGTTAACGCACGCCAACGCCCCGTTCGATTCGATCTGCCAAACGGGTTTCGCCGATGCCAGACGCGGATCTGGCGTTATTGGCGCGACAGCTGATCAATGCAGCTCGCGACGACGCTTGCTTGGCTGGCCGGCCGGCCGGGCTCGCTGGTCGTGTTGTGCAGCTCGGCGAAACCCTTGGATCGACATCACTTTGGCTTACGTACGTACGGTTTTGTCGTCTCGCCATGCTTGCGTAAACACTTGTCGAGTCAGCTCCGAAAGAAGACTTATTAAGGTATCCTGCAAATTCGTACCTCGAATCCAGTTTCAGCAGCAGTATTTTACGAAGCCAGCGAGAGCTCGTTCGCATAATCGGATAAAGATCGGCGACGATGATGCTCGCTGCCTAACTTTAATCGCCTTTCCATCAGGATTATATTAGCCGGTCGCAGCTTTATTTCAACATATAACAGGTGTCAAAAGGAATAATATTTCGTGACTACTGCTACTCTTGATTTTTTGTGCTCTCGTGATCGGGACACGCTCGACCTGTCGTAAACAATGGGCGTCGAGCACGTTATTCCCATGAAACTATTGATAAACAGTCTCCGGGCATGAGCCAGTCGAATGTGAAAAAAGACGAGGTGCGAGGTGCGACGTGACGCAATCCGACAATAAAACGAGGAGTGCTCGTACGCACATAAAGAAGATTGCGAAGGCTCAACGGCGGCGCTGCTGGATCGCGCGTGTGCCAGCATTATCGAGGAAAAGTCAACGATAGAAGCATTCGGCCGCGGGCTCGATGAAACGCGCTGGCCGCTTCTCCTCTTCAACGGTAATAAATAGATCGCCGATAGCGCGCCTCCGTGCCTCCGTGCCTCTGTGCACACGAGTCGGATTGGAGCGAGAGCGCGGCATATCCGGGATTTCATATGCCCCCGACGTCTCTCGGCACTCGAGTCGGCCATGCGTCCACCTGCCGTCCGTCTTTCCACTCGCGTCCCGTGTCGCTCGATCGCGCATTCATTTTCGGAAAGTGCCGAGAGATCGCGCGCGGCTCGTCGCGCAATTTTCGGCAAGTCGGCGCGGGAAATGCTTCCCTCGAATAACGAGGCGGAGGCTGCAGCCAAGACTGCGCGGGCTCCGAGTGCAGGTAAAACGGGGACGGGCGGGGGAGAACGAAGAATGCGCGACGGCAAGGAAACGCTGCAAGACTGGCGTGGAAGCACTATAAATACATATCGACACTCGTCCGCGCGGTTTTCAGGGTCGTCCCTTTTTCGTTCCTTTTCCGCGCTCCCGATGCTCGTTTTGCATACAATCAAGCAGCCGAGCAGCTATCCCATGCTACGAACTGCGAACAATAGCCCGCGCTCTCGCGGCAGTGAGAGTGCGCGAGCGTACTCTATGAAACGCCGCTACTCCTATCTGTCACGGCAGCCTGGGATGTACTCGCGCCTGTGCCATTCGTTCCCTCGCGGAACTCGGTTTATCCGGGCCTGCCAATTGCCAAAGCCGAGTCCGCCGAGTCCGCCGAGTCGCACCGAGTGCCACGAATACGCGCGAAAGCTTTGGCGAGTCGCACGGGCGAGTCCAGCCCGTGTTGCCGGTGGTGCCCTGGCGAACGTTTGGCAGCGCGTGCAGCTTGCGGCAAAGCGACAAGCGGCGCGTATCGGGGCGCGCGACGCCCAAATCCGAGTGCGAGGAGCGCGTCGACGCGCGCGCGCAGCGGCGGCGAGGCGGCGAGCGCCGACCAATAATTGGCGCGCTCGCTCGCTCGCTCGCCGCCGGCTCATGAATTTCCGAAGTGGCCAGGCTAATTTCGGCCGTCAGCCCGAGCGCGCCGGAGCTAACGAGGGCGCGTTCCGGGCTCCTAACGAGCGGCTGCATTTCAAGCCGCGCTCCCAATTCATCTGTTATTCGACGCATTGTCCCCTCGGCGCGGACGTGTCGTTAGCGGGCGAGCTTTATCTGATCCGCGGCGATCGCCCGCGCGACTGCCCGCAGCTGTGCGCTGACCCACTCGTTCACCTCTCGACAGCCACCGGCTCTCGTGCTCTCTCGCTGGCTCGCGTCTCTTCCCAGTTCTCGCCCAATCCGAGACCGCGCGACAAGCAGCAATGGCGCGCGCTTCGCTTCCGGCTCGCACGCAAGTGGCTCGGCCGAGTGTCCTTGTGTTGGCCGTCCTTTGACGGAGGCGAAGCAGCGCGAATGACGGATCGTCACGACTGGCTGCTTACCGGCGAGTTCCTCTCTGTCGGCCCACCACCAATCGGCGGCAGTACGAGTTGTTCGCGACGCGAGTTGCTTCCGAAGCGGAGTCTCGCGAAAAACAACGAAACTTGCGGCGCTCGTTAGCAGCGAAGAATCGAGCGTCATCCGAATGGTTGGACGCTGCCCAATGGGCAGACTCGGCCGACGGTGTCCCGGAAGAGATGGGCGGCCTTGGCTCCACTTGGCCGATACGTATCGCGCGCAGAGACTCAGTCCGCTTGCGGCGCCCGCGCGGCAACAAAGAGCTTCGTATAGGCATGGCGCTGCGCAAGCCGCCGAGTCGTCTGGTTCTCGCGGCTCCAAGGACGTTTGCGCGACGACGGCGCGCGCCGAGCTCCGCGGACTCGCGTCTCCAGGTGCGCGCCGCCTCTC